AAAATAGAGAGAGCAAGATGCAGAAACAAAAATGGGATACAATTGTAAAAACATTCAACAATTACATATTGGACGAGGATGAGCATGATATCAAGAATTATCTAGACCTTCGGCAGATAACATTGACCGGTCTTGATGTCATGCGAAACCCAAATTCAATAATTGTTTCATTATGCAATTATGATGTTATTATAATGGCAGGGAAGAAAACCTTGTCAGGTGTCTCATTAAAAAATCATTGATAACCATTGAGGATTGTCTGTAGTTCTTAGCCAATCACAATTGATTCTTTTGAGACTCCAGCAAGATTTCTGGCCAACGGTATTCTGACACAACATTGAATAACCATAATTTTATAATTATATATTCTCCAATTCTCGTCATACTGTTATTGTGTGAAAAAGAAACTACATGAATTTATTAGTACTTTGAACTGGTGCAAGATGCAACCTTGAATTTCAAAATTTAATTTAGTCTAAGACGATTTCTAGATTAGACATATCACTATAAAAAATATGTACATTGAGAGAGAGACTCAGTATTAACTAAGAACAAACCTGTGTCAACTGTTGATATGTGAAGCCTTTTTGAACCAGGTTCACTTGTCTATGGCGTTTGGACAATTCAGAGCACACTAATTTATTTCTTGTCATCAATTTTTGGGCGTACTTGCCATTGGATCCATCTTTTTCATCTAGATACAAAGTATTTAATATACGATACACTGCTTAGAATCTTCAATCTAAATATTAAAGGATAAGTGTCACACCACAATACTGGCGGCCATTTTATGGGCCGACTACAAAACGTCTTTTGTATCAATCCGTCGTATATTTAAGCCATCCTTTGTGAATCCTTGCTGCTTTTATATAATTCTTACTGGCAATGTACCAAATATGGTATTTTAAACTTTATTTATTGATTTCGGGAGACATAAAAACAATAACAAAGCCATGATACTATGACGTATACTGTCGCTAAACAGATATGTACATGCCGTCAATACCGGCAAATGCGACATAAATATTGTATAAAATTCATTCAACTTACCCTCGATACTTAAAGTGTGAAGGGAAACTTCTAAAATGTCCACATCGCTGCTTTCCGAGTCGTTTTCTTGCCTTATTTCAGCCATACCCGAGAACCGCAGACTATACCCGAGAACCGCGCATTATATGGCAGAGTCTTGATTACATTTTGTCAACCATCGATCTCACCCCCCCCCCCGTCGCGCACCACTAAATATCCTCTACTATCCCTACAAATCCTATATAATTCAGACTCGGCGGAGGAGAGTGGTCTACGAACATGAACAACTGTTTCGAACAGAAAAAAGTTTGCAAGATGCTGACATCCGTTATCGTTTGACCCAATCTGACAGTTTAGCAGAACGTAAATCTAAGTAAATCTAATCGTAAATCTAAGCCTGTCATGGAATCAGCAACAGAGTGCGGCCATTTTGGTGTGGTTATTTTGCAGTGAGGTTCAAACGCAAATGATTACAATTTTACAGGTTTACAAAGAAATATAATTCCTCTAGAATGTTTAATGTACATCATTAAGAGAAAAAAGCATCACTATTCGTATACAGTGTATTTTTATCATTTACCTTTCATGTAGCATATTTAGAGTAATGTCAACATTTTTGTAGTTTGACAGAAATAAATTTTATTGAACATCAATTCTGTGTGATCTGTTTACTTAGTATCTTTAAAGACTGTTATCAGGTATTTAATCAGTTCATTGTTTATTATTAGCCATATAAAACTGCAGAATTGGTAAGATGGCATCACAGAATACCAACACTTATGCTACAGCTGCATATAATAGCAAATGCCAAGAAATAACCTGCAGGGCAAAGAAAACCTGGATATAACTACAGTCAGTTCTCAATACAGCACAAACAAAAAACAGCACTTGAAACAAATCAGGGAATTTAATAGGTCAGGATGATGTTCAAACCAGAGTTTTGGGGTCAAATACACAATTTATGTAGCTACTGATATTATTTTGTATGCCAGATGATTGACCCTTGACCCGTTATTTTGAGTGCTAGAAAAGTCAGTATTACAAGACTCTGCAGCCAAAACCAATTTTGCATTTCTATTTATGGCAAACACTATTAGTAGTGGTTGTTTCAATGCAGTACAGCATAACATCACACATTTCGTATGGTAGTGCAGTGTGATTCTTTTTATGCCAAGACAGTAAGCCTTCCATTGAAGATATTGAGATGAAGGGTATTGTAATGCAACGAAGGTTCACAGCTACATTGAAGTACCAGTGAGTAACAGCTTTCATCTCCAGAGCTATATCGCCATCATTCACCACATCACATCCAGATGTTCTTCATCCTGTCCATGTTATGACAAGAATATCCTCATGTGTAACCACTTCCATTGATGAAAACAACTAAAAGATATTTAACAAAGAGAGCACAGACTTTGTTATGCACTGTGTTTATAGGTGTACAAGACCTACTACGTATCTCAATTGGGCTGCTAAAACAACTAAAACATGCTTTCTATACAAAGCTGCGGCAATCATCTTTATCACTGAATATTTTCAACAAATAACATTGCCTGGTGTTAGGCAGAAAATAAATAATAAAGTAGGTTGCATTTATACAGTATCAGTTACATTGCATCTTAATGGAGTTAACTGACATGAATTAATTTTCCAGTCCTCAATCAAATATATATGGTCTCATTACTCTTTTTCCGACGGCTGAGAGCACAAAATAAAAAAGCTTACACCAATACTGATTCAGTTTGCATTTTTATTGAACTAACTGTTAAAATTATTATATATAAAACTCTATCAAAGATACAAACTTTTTGCATTTGAAAATTATTACAGACTTAAGACTTTGATAAACATTAAACATTTTTGGTGGTCAAGACTGAGAACCTCCACATGGTGACCACTGGGCAACAGCATGTTGTGTAAACACGGGGCGGATTAGCACACCAGGACCCCTATATTGTTTAACTGGACAACATTTTATTTTGCATATTATTTGTACAATGTCATATGTTGGTCTGTTAAAGTGTTAATCTACCCCTGTGCGATTGCAAACTTTTGCACAAGCTTTTGGCTAATCTCAGCACTTTACACAAAATATGGCTTTGTCAAATCATATCTATGGGACCCTAAAATAGTTTATTGCCCTGGCCTACCCCAAGTCTTTGGGTGGCCCAATCAATTAGTTAACCCCCACCAATAATACAGTCCCAACAGACATGGTTTTTACATTGTTTCAATGTTCATGGTATTCAAACAGGCCTAGTTAAAATATTGATGTATTTATTCCCTATATCACAAGCCCCCATGAGAATTGCATGAAATATTATTGCTGAGATTAGCCAGCATGTCATGAAACAAGCAGGGGTAAATTTTTTACTTTGCAGCTGCAAAGGGGTCTCTTTTTGACAAAGTACAATTAAAGTAGCTTACTAATCCACCCCTGATTTACACAACATGCTGTTGCCCATGCATGGTCACCATGAGGAGGTTCTCAGACTTGACCACCAAATTTTCAAATGTTGAAAGAATGTGTTTCTGTTTCTTGGTGAAAACATAATGTTGTAAAATACTTTACTTCAATCAAAAGGTATATAGTATGAAGGCAAAGGTTTACTAGTGCAGAGCAAACTTTAATCATTCTGTCAATGAGAGGAACAGATTCTCCTTTTCTGCAAATAAGGTAATCAGTTCATTCAGTTGGCAAAGTTTGTTGAAGAATGGTATATTTCGGTCTCAGTAAACCAATAATTCTTTCGACATGTATCCGGCCAGTAGCAATCTTTCTTGTCTGTTCCACATCAACAGAATCAAGTTGGTCTTTTCCTTTTGTGAATGCCAGAATATTCAATTTGGCTTGGTGAAACCGAACACTTTCATGGACAGTGAAACCCCTATCCGCCAGAACCAAATCACCTGGTATAAGGTTGTCCAGTAAGCCACAGTTCTCAGTCAGAAACTTATCTGAATTCCTCCCTCCCCAAGCTTCACTGACAAAGCAAATTGTACCTTGTGAGTTGTGTTGTAATTCCAATTAACACTTTAACAGTGTTATGATGCTTGTAACTTGAAAACGTCTGTGCCCTTGCAAGGAGATTAGTTTGTCTATCAATAAAAGTCAGCAGAACATGGTTTACCCAGAAATTAAAACTCGGATTGAAGCATAGAATTATGACACTCGCTTGTCTGAATGCCAACTGTTGTGGGCTTATGGTCGGCGTTTCTCAGGTTTTCTGGACAATTGTCTGCGATATCGTCCATAGTCATAGGATCAAATAAACATTAAACAACCTCGCCAGGTTCGTTTACTCTCTGTAACTTCTCTTTGACCATTTCTTCTGTATTCTCCGGCGACTCCAATTTAATATGGCCGACAGCCATCTTCGTCGATTCTTCGACTGCGTTTGGTTCACAAAATCTCCATTTCCTCGCCTTGATTTTTAATAACTTTCGGCACCCGGCAGAAAGAAAGATCTTTACATTTTAGGTTTGTCATTTGAACTGTTTAAAACTACACAAAAAGTCGGCATATTGAGGAATATTTCGAACAGGTTTGGCACAGCTATACTAGTAAACACTAGTAAATTCCTCGCACGTGACGCGTTTTACTCCACCAACATGGCGGACGCTAAATTCTAGTGACGTCACAGCGGTTCACGTGAAAACACACTATTGAAAACATGAGATGTACGTATATTTCTATTTATTTATAATTATGTCAACATTTTCAAAGGATTCAACTTATTCAAGTATTTGATGCACAAACTTTTATAAATTAGACTGACACAATGTATTAAAGTAAACAACATGCATCTGGATCATCTTACAGTAAAAATGCAGCTCGAATTGTATTTCTATCAATGCAGGACTGCATTCAGCGAACATTTCGTAGACTTTCTTTCAATTTCCATTATAAACAAGTAAACAACTGATGGACATAGCGCTAATCTCACATTCTCATGACATTCAAGTTCGACACACGGTAATCCGCTTGGGATCAAGACTAAAGTTTCTTTAGACACGCATTCGCACAGTGAACAAACAGAAGCTCTTGTCCATTCATTTTAATAATTATTTTACCGATGTTGGTCCTAAACTTGCTGAAAAAATTGAATACAAACACAACTGTAGCTTTCGAGATTTTATTCCTCAACATGAACCAGTTGAGAGATTTATTTTCCAACCTGCAAATGTTGCAACAGTTTATAGGCTTATAACCAAATTAACTATCTCCAAAGCTACAGGTATCGACGAAATTTCAGCTAAAGTATTAAAGGCTGCAGCTTCTGCTATTGCAGAGCCTTTAACAAGGATTTTTAAAATGTCTAATGCCACTGACAGATTCCCGATGGAGTGGAAAGCAGCACGAGTAACTCCAATTTTTAAAAAAGTCCAACGGACTATGTTAGACAATTATAGACCAATCTCAATTTTACCTGTGGTCAGCAAACTAATGGAAATTAAGGATTCTGTACGACCAAATGTATGATTATTTAAAGAAACAGAATATTCTTTCAGAACATCAGTTTGGTTTTAGACAATTTCATTCCACAACTACCACACTTTTAGATTGTACTAATGAATGGTATATTAACATGGACCATGGCCTATACAACATAGTTGTTCTTCTCGACTTAAAGAAGCATTCGATACTGTCAACCATGAAATTCTTTTACGTAAGTTCGAACGGTATGGATTTGGTAATAAAGCCCTAGATTTACTAAGTAATTACTTAACAAATCGAACACAAAGATGTCAGCTAAATGGAATGCTTTCAGATCAGAGAGGAATAACTTGCGGCATCCCTCAGGGAAGTATACTTGGCCCGCTTTTGTTTATTATCTATATAAATGATTTGCCAAATTGTCTCAAACATATAACACCAAGGATGTTTGCAGATGATACCAGCCTTACAGCTGTGGGCATTAAATGAAGCAGAAAAGATAGCGAATAAGGATTTGAAAAATATTAAAGTGTGGTTGTCTTCAAACAAACTTAGCTCAAATATTGCGAAAACGGAATATATTTTGATTGGATGACGTTCTAAGATTAATAGCATGGATGTCCAACCCACAGTTAAGATCGAAACATGTCCAGTCAAAAGAGTAAAAAGCGCAAAAGTGCTAGGAGTTGAAATCGACGAGAACCTAAACTGGGAAAAACATATTGAATACATCGCTAGTAAAGTATCTTCGGGGATTGGTGCGTTAAAAAAACTTAAAGAATTTGTAGACTGAGATACATTAGTGCTGGTGTATAACGCATTGATCCAGCCGCATTTTGATTACTGTTGTGAGGTTTGAGATGAGCTTGGCAAAGGCCTCGGCGAACGTCTTCAAAAATTGCAAAAT